ATTTATTGTTTGGGTGGAACTGGTTTTGTCAGCATCCTTATTTTTTGTTAAATTGGTTTTTAGTAAAGCAATACTTTATTTATGTAACATATTTGTTTTCATTTATATTTTAATTTGCGAGAAGAAGAAAAAAAGGTGATAGATATAATTTTTATTATAAAAATTAATACCTCAAGCCTAACAACACCAAACATGTTTCAGTTATGATGCTCAACGTCATATGTGTTATTTTTATCAATCTTTTATCATGAGTTATAGGCATGGTTCTACGCTAGACTCGTAAGGATGAGTATATTTGATGTTTCAACTACAGCAACGTTAAAAACAAAGATTCAAAGCTTGTTTACGTGCTAATATGATTTTGCCTTTTTTTTTTAGGCTTTCCTTTCATGAGAAGTGCAACTTAAGGAATTTTATTCTTTATAACAATATCAAATAATATATTCTGTCTGAAAAACTAATAAAATAAAGAATAATATTTTTGAGTTCTACTGTACATAAGATTACGTATATTAGACCTTTTGGAAATTGCACTGTAAAATATCCAACTCTTGCGGAGTTTGGCGCGAGAACAGAATGTTTATCTACGTCGAAAACTTACGTATGTGTAGTGCAAATGAATACTATGTAAATACTGCGGGGAGTATCGTCTTACAAAGTTGTTTGTGTACACACTAGAATATGTCAATAGTCGAGATTGCAAATGATTTAATCACTGTCATTTAATAGATCCTATATGTATGGAAATTGTGACTTGTTGTAACAACCTAGAAATGATGACGTGATAGGATTTTTTAATCATGAACAATCGCAACGAACATTTTAAACCACACATTTTGTTTTCAATAATAACCCACAGACGCGTGTCTGTCAAGATTGAACGCTGTTAATATTTTATGGATAGTGATACGAGATTAGACAGATATTTTATTCAGATCCTTTTGTTTTCATCTCGATAAATGAACCTTTTAGAACATTATAGCTTATTACATATTACACGATTCCGCTATCTGGGGTAAGCCAAGAACTAATATATAAACAATAAAGTAATATTCAGTGAATTTATATCCCCGATTTTGTAAAAACGTTCATCACATGTATGTATCTGACGTCTTACAAATTTTAGCCAGACAAGCGAAATTGTTATCAAACACAGATAACTATTCTTATCCTGAAAATATTGTTCTACTTTAATGAAAGAAGGAAGCGAGTTTAATGTGATACGTAAGAGTTTGCATAAAAGAACAGCATTAACACTGAAATGTGCGATGATATGCCACAACAATACTGTAAATATTTTAAAAGATTGATTCTTAATAGAATCGTCACTGGTTTCTAATAGGAAAAGTACATTATTAGCATCGACTGCTTGCCGTGTTTTTCATTCTGCTAATAATGATAATAACTTCCAACATTGCACTATTCACTTCTGTGATATTTCACTATAATGTTAGTTGTTTTTTAGCTTTGGCATTACACCTTTACAATTAAACATTGCTTTCAGTTGCTACCGTATTTCATTGTTGAAACAATATATAAACACAAAGAAAAACTCTTCAAAATGATGCAAATTCATAATATAAATTTGTGTAGGAAAAAAACTAGCAAACTATAGAGATGATTTTAAGTTATTTCCATTTCTATCGCACGTTTTAGGCGCTTCCGTCTGGTATTGGCTAGTTTTAGACTTCAAAATAAGAATTTTAATGTATGTTGTTGTCTGAGGCCTCTGTAAAGCTCTGAATAAATTTGTAGAAGATAATATTTGTACTTATGGCTCTAAGCATATGTAAAGATCTCTTAGCTAAGCAAATGCTAACAGATTTGATTCCATATAGAAAGACTAGGGCGACTTTAGTTGATAAAAGAATATTAACTCATAAACCTACTTTGCATCCATTCTGTCCATTCTAAAGAATTATGAAACTGACTAACTCGAAAATATTTGTATATAGAATCTATATTTCTGTTTATTACTTACTGTTTCACCGCTTGTACACAGAATTAGAGAATAATACTGTTAAGGTTATTGTTATATCTTTGTGTGGTAGCTACGTCTGCATGTTTGGTTTCTCTGTGCAGCTAAGTTGCATTAAGAGATAAATAGATTCACAGGCTGTTTTCCCATTATGCCACAGGTACAACTTGTTCGGCTTATTACATAGGCTTATTACACTTTTGACAATTATTCATGTTACTATTGAGTGTCTCAATAGTTGCAGATATCAACATAAATTCACACATCTAAATAAAATTGAAATTAAGAACATGAATTTAAGAAAATCAACGGTTTTCAATAAAAACAAAATTATATTGCTAGTTTTTAAAATCTAGTAGTTATGTAATAATAGCCAAGTTTTCAATAATATTATGCTTATTCGATGGCTAGGTACGTATTTAAAATAAGTTTTACATTTGGAAATGCTATTACTCGTCACGCCCATTCCTCGTGAGTATTCGAGTATCGGTATTTTGAGTCATTTTAAGTATTGATTCAATTAATACACTTGAGTCTTGCTTTGTCATTGTCTGGTGTCTAGTGCATCAAGTTTGTGGAATTTCACCAGGAATGTAGACTTAATAAAAAAGTTTTATATGTAAAAAGCAAGTATAAGTGCTTCCCACATTAAATTAGAAGATAAACTCAAATAACGTAGAAGTTAAACCTCGCATGAAGTTACAGTGGGATAATGTTAAAACTCTATAGAATTAAGAACAAAAATGCTGCAAACCTTTTACAGCTGTTACGTATTACAATATTCGAAAAGTCCGAAATTTAGTTAACTGATAATTTAAATTCAGTAGTTAAATTGTACTTTAGATTTAGCAGTTAAGTAAAAGCCGATATATAGTCAGTTTATGATATTTGATAACAAGATTGATACACGCAGTTTTCTTTCATACAAATATGTTTTAATATACAAACAACAATACAATTGCTGATATCAACATAGATTCACATATCTAAATAAACTTTAAACAAAACTGAAATTAAGAACATGAATTTAAGAAAATCAACGGTTTAATATAGTTAAACAGTTATTACAAATAGCTATTACACACAGTGATTTATATACACAAATTTTACAAACTTACAGGCAATATAAAGTCTTCTTTCTAGTCTGAAACCTCCTTGATATCTTACTGAGGGTTCACGATGAGCGAGTTAATTACGAGTTGATGTAGGTACAGTTCGTCTAACGGGGAGCTAGCTTTGTCCTTCGTTATTCACAAGTCACACGCGCCGAGTTTTTCCACGATGAAGTTATATAATGTTTTCGTTAAAGTACTAATGTTCGATGAGAATACACTGAAGTTAAATGACTTGTAATAACCATGCTATATGGGTTCTAAAGTAAATACAATAATTACAAAAATTATCGGAACGGCAACCGTGTTACTCCATGTTTTATAATATCACTGTTGTGTATATTGTTAACCATCCCAATGCAACAGCAAATTATTATTGTTATCGTTCAAAATAATATTTTTGTATAGAATACAACGTAAGAACTTCGTAAATGAAAAAAATAGAGTACCAGCAATCTTCTTTGTTTGTTTTATTAATTTTCTGATGAGGCACTAACGTATCACATCTTACCATGCCTTGTTTCTGATTATATAAGCACGTGCACGTATTCTTTTAGATCAATTACAAATTATCTTAAAAGCACAAACGATGAAGATCTGGGGTTGAGAACGTTTCTATTCCGGATTTTCAAACAGTTACAGTCATTGTGAATTTTAAAATTTTGTATATTAAGTCACATTATAATTAAGGAGTTACAGGCTAGGCTTTATTAAACTATATGATATTATGTTTCTAAAAAAAAAGGCACTGCGGCACATATGTAAAGAATCTTTTCAAATGTTGTTTGTATGTTTTTATTATTATATAAAAATGTTTTTCTGTTGCCAAAGGTCATGAAATAGCAAAGTAATATCATTGTATGTTTATTTTTTGAATCTATAGTAACAGAAAATGAAAGTCGTGATAGAGATACCAGAAATAAATGACAATCATCGAATTTCCCTGAAACCCTAAGAGGATTTTATCTTGTATAAAATAAATTGTATTTTCTTGATAAATGTCTGGTGATAAGTATAATTTGGATTTATCTTATCTAGTCGATCACTTCTCTGTATTAATCCTGTAGGAGAGAATATTAATCCCTTAGGACAGAAAAACAGATATACAGATGGAAAGCAAGATAATAAAAAAGTAAATTTTCCTTATAATTTCAAGTGATCTTATACGACATACAATCTAAAAAATGAGTAGAACGTAAATTATATAGAAGGTTACTCACATATTATAAGAACTGTTTGTATATATGTTAATGCAGTAGCGTATTGTTGCAGATGCGAGTCGTGGCCCCACGGGCAACAGATTTGTCACGTATCTATTAGGTTCATGACGAATTTCCAACCATTCTACAGTGCAATGCTGCCGCGAATAAACTTATGGCTGGATGATTATGTTACTGTTCTCAAACGATGTAGACCCAAAAGACGCAATATTACGAATAAAGCCTTCATTGTTCTACATAGAAGCAGAAAACTTGTACAGCGTATTGGTTAAGGTAGAAACAAGCTCCAATACTATTCTTCAATCCAGTTC